TTCATCTGTTAAGAAAAGTAGCATTGGTCATCTCATATTCTTGAGCTTTCTTCTCTTAGGAGAATAATTGGTAACCATTCAGAATGTGGAGGCATTTTAAACTCTAATTGATGGTTTTATCTGCTGTAATAATCTGTGAATGTTTGCAGTATCTTTTTTTACTACACTGTATTTGGGACCTATTCTTGTACAATCTTCTAAAGGTTTTAATTTGATCTCAGGAATTTTAATAAGTCTTACAGTGCAAAACAAAAATATACTTAAATATTCTTCTATTTATGTATCAGCTACTGCTAAGACTTAAATACAAGCATATTTTCAGAAAGAGATATTATTGGCACTTAGAAATTTAAAAAGAACTGCTTTGAATATCTGAGCTTCTCACAATGTATCAAGAGAGCAATACCATTGACGCTGAGGTCTTCAGAGGCAAAATGGCTTGTGCCAGCCTTTAGCCATCAGGTAGAGGAAATGTGTCTTATCTAGCCTTCTGACCCCAGCCTTCAGGATCCTTAAGGATGGATAAAGTACCTGAGTTTTTGTTCTTTATCATTTTTATTGGTTTGGGTTTTTTGTTGTTGTTTGTTTTTGTTTTTTTTTTAATGATCTCTTTTGTCCTATAGTTTATTTTTTTTTAAGATTTATTTATTTTACTTTACATATTTGTGCTCTATTTACATGTGTGCCTGCATGGCAGAAGAGGGCATCAGATCCCAGTATAGATGGTTGTGAGCCACCATGTGGTTGCTGGGAACTGAACTCAGGACCTCTGGAAGAACAGTCAGTGCTCTTAACCTCTGAGTCATCTCTCCAGCCCTGGTTTTGGTTTTTATTGGTGTGTTTTTCCCAGCGTTTGTTTGTTTGTTTGATTGTTTGTTTTTCCAGACAGATTTTCTCTGTATAGCCTTAGCTATCCTGGCCCCGCTTTGTAGACGAGGCTGGCCTCGAACTCACAGTGATCTGCCTACCTTTGCTTCCCTGGGTGCTGGGACTACAGGTGTGTGTCACCACACCTGGTCCCAGCCTTGATTTCCTTAATTCTTGTAAGTTCTTTATTAATTGAGTCAGATTTAAGGGAGAAGCTCACACAGCCCTTAGGCCAGAAGACCCTGGATTCTCTGCAGAGACATAGACAGAAGCACAGCAAAAGCAGAGGGACTGTCTCCCATGGGATGCATCTAGGCTTTAGTTCTTTGGTTGGAGAGTTTCTAAGGAATTGGAATGAAAAAAAATTAGCCCCAGGGACTCAAACTCTTCTTGTAATCAATTTCAAGATCTTTGAATAAGAACACACTATCCTGGTACCCTCGCCAGAACTCGTACATACAAGGCCTGTATATGACCAGCTTCTTAGACAGAAGAGGAATCAGTAGGTCCATCGCTCTCACATGACTCAGGAATTCACCCCTTGGTATAGCCACACAGACATTGGGGCTCATTTGAGAGAACAGAGGTGAGTTTACTATTTAAAGCTGACAGGATGTGTCTAAGGCCAACCCTAGAGGCTGGCATATAGAGCCCTCCCCTTTCTGTCTGAACTGAGCTCTGGTGTTGAGTATTGATTACCTACTGTGAATTGGTTCGAAGAGCTTTAAAGAGATTTTAAAACTGTATCAAAAAATGATGCCCTTCTGTCTCTCACAGAAACTTCTTCAAGACAAGTTTGACTAGTTTTATAGCCTACTAATATGAACATTGGCTGAGAGTCATTTTAAGTGAATAATAATTTACTCAGGTTGCTACTTTTCATATTTGTCATGGCGAATATTATTTGTGTTTCACGTGCTGGGAAAAATGTAGTTATAGTGATTAAATGTGTATTTGACACTAATGTTCAGTAGTTACACAGTTGTAAGTGATATGTTCCGTTACCAGAAATCCTTTGGAATATGATGCTTTCTTTTTCTCTTATACCAGTTTATTTTGTGAAAGAAGGTAGTTGTAAGCTACCAAATTTTATGATTTTATGTTTTACATAAAATAAAACCAACATAAAATGAAACCAACATTTAAATACTTAAATGGATGTCTAGCCATAAACGACAAAGGCTGCTAGGTGATTCATTCATTAATTGTACATTAATTATAAAGTTAATTATTTTTTTTCACATGTCAGATATTTCATATGTGCCATTTCTTTGGGTTACTGCCATTCCTGTTAATATCCGAGTCTGCATATTAGTTTCAGCTAACCACAGGCTACACTTGATAAGGGTTCTGATCATGAGGAAAACCAGGAAGGTCCACACCTAGGACTCAGTGTGTTATTTTAGAAAAATAGCCTTTGGTGTTCTTGCTAGCACTGGTTCTCTTTCAAGTGGGCATGGTGAAGAAATCTTTAAAATTTATCTTTATTTGACAGTTTCTATTTACTGTGAAATGAACTAAATTCTACCTTTTGATCGATATGTCCATGCTAAGGATCGAATAAAATGAGTTCAGTTTAGCATCCATGAATAATCTGTATTCATTGCATGTGAAAAAAAAGTCTCAAGCATTCAATGCGTGTCACATCCTAAGTATTATCTAAAATGATGGCAGGGCCCAGAAGACGTGCAGATGTCTTAGCTGTACAATGACTCCTTAAGATCACACGCTGCTGCTCTCTTGAGCTTCTCAAAACTGTTTACTATTCCAATTCAGTAGCAAACCTATTACAACCCTCTTGGTTTTGCCAGCTATAGCTAGTTTAGAGTCTAGGAGACAACTGCCAAAACAGCCATGTCGGGGCTCCTGATGTGTCTGTCTGCGCAGCCAGACTCCAGCCTAATCCTCAGATTGGGCCAATATAACATCCTTGTATTTTGTTTTGTTTTTAATAACTTTTTTCTTTTTTAATTTTTAAAAATTTAATTAATTAAAATATAATTACATCACTTTGCCCTTTCCTTCCTCCAACCCTTCCCAGGTAATATCCTCCACCTTGTCCCCAAATTCTTGGCATATGGCCTCTTTTCTCTAGCTTCTTCTTCTTCTGTAATTGTTTTACACACACACACATAAATATACAAATAAGATTGGCTCAGTCCATATAATATTTGTATGTAGAGGAGTTCACAACTGGTTACTTGGTGTTGGATAACCAACTGGGGCCTCTTCCCTGGGAAAGACTGATTTCTCCCACTCTCAGCATCCCTTGATTGCTGGTAGTTCCTGTCCGGGCTTGGGGCCCTGTGTCATTTTCCACTTCTAATAACATCACTGTTGGTGTTGTCCTTGATCCAGTCTCGGTTATGCAGTCATGTTGTTGAGACTTCATGAGTGTAGCTTTCCTATCTTTTCAAGGAGACACAGTCTCACAGCAGACATCCTGTTCCTCTGGCTCCTACAGTCTTTCCAGCCCTTTTTCCGAGATGCTCCCTGAGCCTTAGGTGCAGGAGTTGTGTTGTAGGTGGCTCAGCTGGGTTGTAAGTGGGTACCCCACGTCTGTGTCTGTAGCAAAGAGAAGCTTCCCTGTTAGCATGAGAGCTACACTTATCTGAGGGCAGTTCAAAATGACGCCTGTATAATAAAGTGATGGTTACATCTTTGCGGATATATGTTTGTCATCCAATACAGCCAAATGAAGACTCATTGCAAAGGCTGCTTGTAGAGGCTCTCCTAGAGGTGACTCTAACCATTTCTTGAGCACTTTCCTGCACCAATATGCTGCCTATCATTAAGTCCTATAGCTGATATTTGATATTTCTCAACTAAACTAGGATTGTGGGGGTTTTGTTGTTGTTTGTTGTGCTGAGAATTGATTCTAATGCCTCACACGTGGCCAGCAACTAGTCTATCACAAATAACATCTCTAGCTCTTTAGCGGAGATTTCAAGAGCTAAGAATCTTTGAATGATTTTGGGCTCTCTAGTAGTGAACAACAGATGATGGGGAAGGAAGGCAAGGGTTGACATTTGAGATTGTCCTCTGACCTCTGCACACCTGCCATGGCATGTGTATGCCCTCATACACACATGCATAATTCACATATTTTTAAGTTAAAGGAAAAATCATAGCCATGGTAATTCTTTCACACATTGAGCTGTTTAAAACATTTTTTAATGCCTACTGTGCTTGACCCTGTGTTGAGACCTGGTGACACAGTCATGATCCCTGCTTCTTTGAGCTGAGTCTCTGGCATGGTGGGTATTTTTGTCCAGTTGGTTTTTCTTCATGTCTACTTCATTTTAATAGTATTAATGCATAACTGAATGTTTGATCTTAAGTATGTTAGCGTTTCCCTTATGATTTATTACCAAACATAGCCATAATGAAAACTTCTGATTTTGAGGAGACATTCATTTTACTCAGCTCTTATCTTTTACCATTCATGTCAAGCTAAGAAACATATGCTGAAAAATAAGTCCCAGGAAGTTCTCTTTTCTTTTACAAGTGTTCTGTTGGAGAGTAGCAGGGTTTGTGATCTCCAGTCCTCTCCCTGGAAACACCGTGCACTTTTCAGTTCTGGTCAGAAACTTTTACTGAAAATTTGGCTGAGAATCAATGACATATCAGGGATGACTGTGACCTTTTCGGCGTCCCGTGTTTTGATTAGCTAGCTGTTCTACTCACACTCCATCTACAGACAAATTGTGAAAGGCTTGAATGGCAAGTCAGAACTATCTGGAATATTGAAAAGGTCACTGTGATTTAGCCTATAACCACAGAATTGAAAATACATGACAAGTCATTATCAGGCTTAATTCTCACAACAAGGGCTGGGGTAAAGATGGGATATTATTCCAATTAAAATATTCTTGTCTCATACTAAAGGCTGAAAATGGTAAAGCTCAAATGCCCTCTTGACTCCTTTTGTGTGATGACTTAATAAGTTAGAAAGAAATTATAATTGAATTAAGCAAGGCAAAAAGGAGGTAGCAAGCCCTTTTGATTTGCGAGTCCATCGTAAAGGGAATACTGTAATGACTTTCCTGAAAACTCTAATTATACATGAGTAAAACAGATACAAAACCAATTCAACAGCCACCCCATGCTCTCTCTTTTTTTTTTATCTACAGCATAGCTGTCAGTCAGATGGGAACTCCATTTATTTCCATGGAAATGAAGGCAGCGAGTTCAATTTTGCCACCACCCGGGATGTAGATCTTTCTACAGAGGATATTCAAGAGCAGTGGTCAGAAGAATTTGAGAGCCAGCCCACAGGGTGAGTAATTGCTGTCTCCCATGCTGTTATACCACCTACCTTCACTCCAGTGGACACATTTTAAATGCACGTCATGAAATGACAAAGGCATGCTTAAATCAACACTGATGATTTTTATCACAGACAAGCCAAAAGGGGGATACTTATCCTAAGGGTCTTTGTTGAGTAATCAAGTATTTTAGACATATTTTTAAAATTGTGATTACAAATACCTTATAGCTCCATGTATATCCAATATTACTTAGCTTTTACTTGGATTTTTTTTCAGTATTAGAATACAAAATCTTTCCACTACTATTATATTGAGATATTCTATTCTCCTCGGGACTGAGCTTTATAGACACTGCTGCCTGATTTTCATTGAAATGTGGTTTTAATCCATAAAAGGATGTTTAGGGGATATAGCCTACCCTTGGAAGATACACAAAATGGGTATTTGGGACAGAGGTTGAAGGATAGGAGACCAGAAACACTAAGGGTGATTTGTGCTTTCTACAGATTTGGTTCTGTCTGTCTTATTCTGGGACCTCATTGGCTAAGATCACTTCCTAGTTGAGTGGAAAGTTCCACTTTGTCTGGGGATACAGCTAAGTAGGTAAAAATGCTTGTCATCAAAGTATGAGGACCTGAGTTTGGAGCCCCAGAACCACATAAAAGCCACCTGTGTAGAGTGACTTCGGTGGGGAGACAGGAAATAAAGACAGGAAAAGCGCTAGAGGCTCACCTGGCATATGAAGTGGGAAAACAGCAGAGTTTCTGTCTTAAACAAGATAGAAGGTGATGCCTGACACCAGGGGTTGCCCTCTGATGTCTGTATGTGACCATGGCATATTCATGGCTATATACACATGCACACACACACACACACACACACACACACATGCATGCACCACAGAGGCAGGCAGAGGGAAGGAGAGACACTTTGAGTTTAAAAGTGATCAGGAGACAGAGGAAGAAGGATCCAAGAAGAGTTCCAAGCCAGCCTAGGCTGTGTAGCAAGGTCCTATCTTAAGAAAAAAACAAACAAACAAACAAAACTCATAAATAAATAAATAAACAAACAAAGTCAGATTCAGAGAGGCAAATGATATTCATAGGAAAGAAATTATAGAAGATTTCTAGTTCTCTCCTGGACTTTCTTTTTAAGTTAAATGTGTAAGGAGCTGGTTATCTACAGCAGATTAACCTGTGGGCATATCTGTGGGGGAATTGTCCTGATTGTTGATTGATATGGAATCTTCATGGTGCTAATGTGGGTAGCACCATTCCCTAGGCAGCAGTCCAGAGCTTTGTAAGAGCAGCGTGCTAGCTGTAAGTAAATCAGTAGGCTGGCATGCATCATTTGTCCCTGTTCTTGACTGTGATGGCCAGCTGCTTGAGTTGCTGCCTTAACTTCCCCTTAATGGTGATTTGTAAAATGGAGTTGTAAGCCAGGTAAACTTTCTCTCCCCTAAGATGCTCTTTGTCATAATATTTTTATCATAGTAACAGAATAAAGAGAAAAAATAGAACAGAAATTGACTTGATATTAAAAGAAACCAAGCCTAGTTTAGAAAATATAGTAATCCAGAGAAAAAGCTGGTGTGTGTGTGTGTGTGTGTGTGTGTGTGTGTGTGTGTGTGTGTTCTGATTACAAAGCAGACATTTCATTTTAATGAAATACTAATATTGTAAGAGAGTTTTGGGCTAAAACTGAAATCATCATCACAAAGAAAGCCACTTATGAGGTTGGCATTGAGTTATAAGGTGTGAATGGATCGTGAGAAGAGGACCTGGGCTTTTCTGTGTCTAGACTGAAAATGCTGGTTTAATGAAGTGCCAGGTGTTGTTTTTATTGGTCTAGTAAAGAATGCTGATAAAATTATTTTCATCAGAGCTTCAGGAAAAGAATCTTTCACAAAGTCAAACTGGTGCATGGAGCATTTATTATAGGGAAAGAGGTGACAGAAGAAAAGCATTAGGTTACAAAATACTTGATACGTCACTTCTCTGCCAAGTGTTTGTCTCGGTCTTCCCTTCAACACATCCATCCAGAAACACACTTTGCCGTTATAAAACTCACCTGCTAGGGCAAACAGGTAGGTGCTAAATCCTCCATGTATTCCAGAGTGACCAGTTGAATTGATTGTATTCTGAAACATGGTGGGGGGGGAGGATACTAACTAAATATTTAACGTAGATAAATAAGAGAGAGTAAAAGAACATGTCATCCTAAATAATACGTTCAAACTACTTTGTATGAATGACCAGGGTGGAAAGAAAATGCAAGTCAGTATTTGGGAAACCATTTCCCTAATCGCCCTTGTTTTCCTACTGTTAGAATCAAAACACTTGATCTCACAGCACAAGGATGTGCGTGTGTGTCTGCCTTGCACGTGACTGGGCTGTCCCAGCACTGAGGGGCATTTTCCAAAAAGTAAAATTTAAAGTTTTTGGTTTTGTTTTGTTTGTTTGTTTCCTAAAGAAGACACATCTGTTCCTTCAGGAAGGAGGAAGCTTTAATAGACACACTGATAATTTATGTGAGTCTTCTGAACTTTGGCTTAACCTCACAGACACATCATTTAATTAGCAGCTACAGCATCTCACCTAGCTAGGGTTAGGTGAGAAAGGGCTTGGTAGAATGACACATTAATGCAAAGTGGAATTTGTATTAACGCCTTTTACCCTTATGTGTTTGTAACGTTTAAATATCTTTTGAAGACATTTTATTGTTATCCATGGCAGTATGTCTACGACAAAGTGGAAATCTGCAAATTAATGACTATTAAACATCTTTAATCGATATGGTATGCTCCTGTCTTTACCACCTGCCCCCAAATCCATGTTCCAAGTCCTTGAAAATTACAGAAAATGAGCAGATGAGTCTCTGATGAATCATAAAACAATAAGGTATCTCTCTAGGTGGGCCAGAGCTTATGAAAGACTTGTGGGGTGGAGAGGCTTCGGGAGGAGCATGAAGCTGGGATCTGAGGAGGGAAGCTACGGTCCAAAATGCTCACTGAGTAAGACACACTGTACATGGTATCTCAGCCTTGCTCCAGTATGGCTGCTAGATTAGGGTGTGGCTCTGAGTCTCAGCTGTAGGCACTGTCGAATGACTTCAAACCCAGGCTCCAACAAGGAATGTGGACATCCGAAAATGGGCTGCAGAGCAGTTTATGTCCGTGACAGTCCTCACCCATGGTGCCTAAACTGCCAGGCAGTTCCATGGCAATCCTCACCCATGGTGAGGAAGCTGGCATTTTCACACTGACAATTCAAGTACAGATAGCAGTTTCAACAAATGATCTAGGATATTCAAAATGATTTCTTAAAACTTTCAGTAAAGGCATTTATCTAAAGAACTAAGAGTTAAAGTGAACGAAATATCGGAATGAATGAATACAGACTATCTCGGAAGCCTATCTGTTATCCTCAGAGGTGTGAGGGAACATACGGCATTTGTGAAACCAGAACGGTTTTATAAGGAAAAAAATTAGAGGTGAGACAAACAACAAATATATATATGGCTGAAACAAATTTACTGGATTTCCCCCAATTATAAATAATGCCTACTTCAAGAACAAATTAGTAAACTGAATATTTTAATTTAAATTTATTTTTATAATTTATTCACTTTATACCCTGATTATAGGCCCCTGGCTCATCTCTTCCCAGTCCCCCCCTCCCTCCCTCTTTCCCCTGTTCTCCTCCCCTACCATTTGACCCTAGCCTATCAAATCTCATTAGGACTTCTTGTATCCGCTTTCTCTGTGGCCTGTCAAAGCCCCCACCAGGGGGAAATGATCAAAGAGCAGGTAACAGTCCATGTTAGAGACAATCCCTGCTTCCCTTACTAGAGGACCCACATGGAGACTGAGCTGCCTATGGACTAAATCTGAGCAGAGGGCCTAGGTCCTCTCCTTGCATGGTCCTTGGTTGGTGCATCAGTCTCTGCAGGTCCCATGGGCCCAGATCTGTCAGTCTTCTTATGGAGCTCCTGTCCTCTCCTGGTCCTTCTCTCCCCCAACTCTTTCATAAGACTCCCTGGGCTTTGCCTGAAGTTTGGCTGTGAGTCTTAGCATCTGCTTCAATCCCCTGCTGGATGGAGTCTTTCAAAGGACACTTATGGAAGGCTTCCATCCGGTTCCCTCTCTTCAACCGCTTCTGGTGTCTATTCTATTTGCCCTTCTGAATGAGAATTAAGCATCCTCCCTAGGGTCCTCCTTGTTATTGAGACCTGAGTACTTTAATCTTGAGTCCTTGTGTAATGTATAAGACAAAGGACTTTAGTGGGTTGGGGCAATGGCTCTGTTGAGAAGGTATTTATCAAGCATTCCTGAAGGCCTAGGGTTGATCCCCAATGCCTGTGTTAAAAAGCCAGTCATGGTGGCTGGGATCACAACGCTTGTGATCCCAGTGTTGGGAGGGGAGAGGGTTGGAGACAGGAGGATCCCTGGAGCTTGGTGACCCTTGGTCACCCTCGCCCAGTCAGCATGCTCTGGGTGAAAGACCCGGTCCCATGAAAACAAAATGGATGGCTCCTGAGGAGCAACACTCAAGCTTGACCCAGCTACATATATGCACACGCACACGTGTGAGCACATGGCCATCACACAGGCGTGCGGGGGAGGTAAATATGTCAGGTATACAAAAAAGTGATCTTTTAACCTCAGTCATCCGTAGAATACAGCTTAACAACATGATTGTCTGTGGAGTCCCCAGCCTGCATTCAAGCGTGTTTACAGTACCAAGCGTAGGTACCTTTCTATGCAGCAGACCTTAAATCTAATCAAGGTAGCTGCTGGGTACACCCATGCCCAGTGTTGTCACTCTTGGTGTGGCAGGATGCTATCCTGGCCTATGCTAGCATGCCTGGTCTAGCGCTGGGTTGGATCTTGATATCCCAGCACTATAAAAGTGAGCGAGCAGGAAGAGAGTTTCCTTGGTCAGTTTGAGACTGATTCCTCTATGTCCTGCAACCAGAGTATGTGGTGTCATCCTCGAAGTAGTCTCAC